GCCAACCCAATATACTTGACAATCAACCCTAAATTGCCTGGGACAAAAAAGGGGAAATGAAAAAAAGAAAGTAAAAAAAAAACGAAAATGATGCGGGAAATCGCTTTTGGGCCAATAAACACCAACACAGCCCTGGAATGGACCAGTCAGAACGAGTCACCAGCAGATCAGCAGACGCAAAAGCAAAGAACCAGGACTCTGTCAACGAAAACGAGAGATTGTTTGCTTTCGACGGGAGCCTGATTTCTCTCTCTCACACCCCCGGTCTATCGGGGAGCAAGATGCTCGCTTCACCCCTGGCAAGCAAATCAAAGCTCTCCTCGCTGGTCGCCGTAACAGACGGACTAGACGAGCGATCTCGCGGCAGTGGGTACAAGCTCTTCTCCATATCCAGCGCATCAAGGGAGTGTCGCTGAGCCTGAACCTGCCATCGGCGATCCCCTACCCATTCGACGCCATCGCCGACGCCACTCATGCCCACCCTGCGACGTTCGTGCTCGCGCTCCAGGAGGGGCAGTCTCTCACCCGCAGGTGCTTCGCTCCCCTGCCCGAGCTCCAAGGGCAGGTGACGCCGATGCCATTCGCCCACGAACATCCCGTCCGCGTCGACCTCCGAACGCACTTTCATCCACGACTCCATATCTGACCCGTACGCGGTGCCTAGTTCGTGTGAGCCTATCGTGCGGAAATTCTTCGCCCAGTGCGGCTTCGCACCCATCTCCCGCATCAGCCATTCGAAGGCTTCGTAGTAGCGATCCTTGCAGGGCGGGTCGCGGAGGTATGGACGATAAAGCGTGGCGTTGAGGTAGAGCGTCGGGCCGTCCCGACACGTCGGGTCCAGGAATGGACGGGGCTTGGTGTTCAGCGAGGTGTCGGAGACTCGCACCTCGACCGGACAGTGTACGTACAGTCCCTTGGACGAAAAGGGGATGCGGGCCGTCTCCATGTCGCCGTTCAGCCAGGCCGAAAGCCTACCTATGGCCTCGGGGCCCTTTTCCAACGGGAGAGCCCATTCGTTAACGAACTGCGAATACAGGCAGTTCATCAACAATCCCTCGCGCGCGGGCTCAACGGCCTCGGTGACGGTCGACCCAGCCCGGAAGCCGTACTGCATACCAAAGACGAACCATTCGACCCACGGCAGGATGCGCGGGACGTATGTGGACAGAGCGAGCAGATTATGGTAGATGTGGTAGCCTAGCGATTCGCCGTAGAAGCCCTTCGGGGGAGCGCGCAGCGGGAGGTCGGTTTTATCAGCACGCCAGACAATAGCGCTTTTCTCATAAGGCAGCCACCAAACGCGAACGAACTCATGTGATGTCCACAGACCCGTCGACCATTCGTCTAGCACGCGAGATAGCGAATACCGTTCCTGGCGCCAGGCGATATTGAACGTGGGAGTCGCCTTGAAGGTGACCTCGACAACGATTCCGAGCGCTCCGAGCGACAGCAGCCCCGCGCGGAACAGGTCCGGGTTGTTTGTCGGGCTGCAGCGGACTAGCTGGCCATTGGCAAGTACCAGGCCGAGAGAGTCGATGCATTCCGACACCAGGCCGTGGCGTAGAGAGCTGCCGTGGGTGCCGGTGGCGATGACGCCTGCTATCGACTGACTGTCGATGCTGCCCAGGTTCTCGAGTGTCAGGCCATGCTTTTCTAGTTGTGTTCCTAGTTCGCTCAATCGGATACCCGCTTCGACGGTTACCGAGCCGGTCGACGGGTCAACGTGGAGGATGCGATTGAAGTCGTCGAGGTTGACGAGCCAGGACGAGGTGCAGGTTAAATCGGAGGGCGAGTGGCCACTTCCGACCGTAACGACTCTGCGACGACAGCGACGGGCGAGAGTCACCAGCTGTTGGATCTCTGGGATGGTCTGTGGGCGTATATATAACTCCGGGCGCGAGAAGAATGTCTTGGCCCATGTGTGATGTAAATGATCGGTCGATGAGCGGAACGGTACCGCGGGGTCGAGCTTCGAGAGCTCACGAAGGATGGAGGGGTCCATGACTCAAATATTCACATTGCCATTCGGGCAGAGTAGAATGTAAGAAAGGAGAAATTTACAAATGCCAATGGAGAGATCGAGGATGGCGACATCCCAGATCGGATGATTCTGCATTTTTTTATCTCCGTCGCCCCATTCTCCCCCGTTCCCGTCCATCCTTACACTCCCTTACATCCATTGCCTTAAATGTCCGAGTAATCAAGTGCTTGATTTTAACATGTGATTTATATAAATATATAAAAATTATAAGCCTAAGTAAATAGGTAGGTAGCCTTGGTATGAAACTCGGATTCTTAAAAAATCATTGCCTAAATACACCCTCAAATGCGAAATCCACCTATCTACATCCCCCAGATGCTCCAGTTCACTCTATGGCGCAAATATGGCACAAGTACACAGGACTCCCGAAATGCTCTGTAGAGCCTGACAAAAATATGCACGAATTCAAAGAAGCCCGCAAAAAATCAGATAAAAAACACAAGATCTCACTCAATTCTCTGGTGATCGGATCGCCTCGATAACAACATCAAGAGAGAACACGAAAGGTGCATGCTGCGTGCGTGGGTTCCATTTGCGGAATGCGCTTTGGCAGCGGTCGGGGACGCCACCGAGGGCCACGAAGCTCTTGGGGATGAATGGTCGGTCCTGGAGGGATGTGGCAAGGATGCCATATTCGTGCGCGAAGACCACCGCCGAGGCGAAATCGGCAGACTTCTGTGAGGCTTGTTCGCCGATAATACTGTGGGAGGGAATCAGTGTCAGTCACTCGGAGTGGAGGGGCATTTGATAGGGTAGTACTCACACGTAGATCTCGAAGAAGGTGTCCAGAACGTAGACGTCTTTCTCGGTGATGTCTCGGTAGCAGAATGGCTCAATTTCTTGGACGCAATCATTGGCCTTGACCACTGGCGAACTTGAGCCCGGACGGCGGATATTCCAGAAACGAGTTGGCGGGTTCAGTTCGTGGTCGACCCGGAGAAGTCGCGTGCGGTAGTGGTTGTACTTCGGCTTGAGCTGCCAGTGATCTTGGCACATGTGCGGTGCAGCTTCTTTGGGGCCTGCGAACACATCGAAGAAATCTTCGGGCTCTTCACCCTCGGTGACTTCTTCAAACTCTCCAGTCAGACCTAGGTCCATGCCGATAAGTCGGGCTGCACCGGTTTCTTCAGGGCCACTACCTTTGCCCTTCCATAGGTAGAGCTTGCCAAAGGGAGCAGAGACAACGTAAGGGAACCCAGAACAGAGATTGCGCAGTGAATAGTCCACTTCATCGAAGGTCATCTCGCCCAAGTGTTTCCGGCCACAAAGCATGTAGAGAGCTGAGGAATTGTGGCGAGAGCTGGATCCCCGACGCGTGATCATAATGCCGCCAAGCGCTTGGATGAACCGGGTGGGCTCATTGCCTTGTCGAATGACTTGCAACTTGGAGCCCTTCTCACGAGCGACTTTGCGTGCGAACGGCTGTTCATTCTCCACCGAGGACTCGGAAACGTCGTCTCCTCGCCAAAGGTATACTTCCGAGGTGCTACTTCGTCCGGTCTCGAATGTGTGCACGCAGAGATACATGCTGCCTTGGTATAGGATGTACTCCTGGTGGGAAGGAAGTTCCTGACGTCTCCCGTCGTCTGTAAGCTCCCAGATCTGTAGCTTCATGGTCCTGATCTTTACATCGTCCGGTTTACGCATCAGCATTAGCTGAGGATCTATGTCCATCCGGTTTCGAGCATGGGGGAATGTCTTGAAGAAGCCCGCAATTACCTCACGTGCCTCACTGGCTTGCGCAACCAGTGATGGGGCAGACATCTTCCTCGAGAGTCTGCGTGGATCGGTTGGCTTGTGTAGCATAACATCACCATCTTTAGGGGGTACTGGCGGGGAGGGATGGCTCATGGGCCGTGAGATGGAACTGCGTGCTGACTCGACGGTAACACCTGGGATGCTCTTCTCCTGACTCATGGGTGAATCCATTTGGTTCTCTTTGTGACTTGTTCGGAGAGGGGACGGCGATGAGGACGCAAACCGGTTTTGCTGGGCCCATTGTGGCTTTGGCGTTGCAGGCAGGGGGGACGAGGGAGAATCGGACTTCGGCGGGACAGGCGGTCCGCCTGATGGACTCACCTCTCCAGGGCTTTCGGGGTCCCTGGGTGTCGTCTCAAGATCGGCGGAGGGGAAAATGTCGAAATCCGTTGGCAGGGACCTTGTCTGAAGTGCTTGCGGGATTCCGCTTTCGGGCGTATCGCGTTTATCCTGGGGAGGAGTGGTTACCTCCGGAAGTTGCTCGGTGACTGTACTGTCTGAACGGGGGCTTTTGATGTCAGGAACAGGGTTTTCATCAGGCTGCGACAGGTACTTCGAATCGATCTCCAAGGATTCAACAGGGATTGTAGGAGTCTGGGATGGGGTGGCTTCAGAGCATGAAATAGCACCAACCTCCTTAGTATCATCCCGAGCGGACGGGGTCGAGGCATCGGTTGTCTGGGGAAGTCGTCTCCTCGGGCCTCTAGCACGACCCTTTGTCATGTGGGTGAGAGGCGCAGATGGCGAGGCAGGGTCACTCTGCGCTGAGACGGGGATTGGCAGCTGCTTGTTCGGTCCGTCACCGGCGGGCGCGCCACGAGAAAGCAGGCCAGCTAGTGCAGGGTTGATTCGGCCCGCCAATTTGCTTTTAGCTGCCGGACTTGAAGTCCTAGTGGCCTCCTCGACAGGCGCCGGTGGCCATTGACGAACTGGGCGGAGTGTCTTGACTGAAGGCTCCTGCATCTTCACTATGCTCGGCTCGATTGGTGCCACGGCTTCGCGTGTTTCCTCCTGTTTCTCTGAAGATATCGCTTCGGGTGTTTGCTTGTAGTCGCTCGCCGCCGGGGTAGCCTCCTCTGGTTCGTCAATGGGATCATCGGCAGGGAACGGTGACAATGGCTGTGATTCTTGAGATGCACGCGAGGCATTGGTATCTTTCAAGGGCCAGCCCGGCTCATCATTGGCGGGAGATGTCGGCAATGGTGGTTGTTCCTGAGAAGCTCGCGATGGAACGATGCTCTTGAAAGATGAATTCGGAGACGACAATGGTGGTCTGTCCTGCGAAGCCCGAGAACTGATGCTTTTAGTAGGCGATATCAGCTCATCTACAGGTGGCTGCTTGATGCTGTTTGCCCGGGTCATATTTTGTCGCATAGCAATTGCTTCTGGTACGACCTCGGCCGGTTTTGGCGCATCCTGCTCTCCAGCGGTATTCCGTCTGATGGAGCCTCCGCCGGCTTTCATTTCATCTTTGCGTGAGACAAGGCTCTTCCTAAATTCATCGACTCGCTCTGTCTTCTTTGGTCCGCCGGTGATGTTCAAAGCAGCTTTGCCTCGTAGGATATTGCCCTTGAGCTCATCAGGGGCAACGTAGTTGCGAGTTTCGGTCTTTTTGAGGCGACCAAATACATTTTTAAATTCGGGTTCTTTGGTATCTCCGGTGTCTTTGACCACTTCTCTTTTACGTAGGTTTGCTCGGAAGTCCACCACAGGAGACTGTGGCTTCGCCTTCGGTGAGATGGGCCCCCGCGAGGAAGTAGAGATGGAAAAGTTTGGCTTGGGGCTCAACGAGTCGGGAGGGGCCCTGCGAGTGGGAGTAGATTGAGGCTCGGACTCTTCAGACGCCGGTGGTTCTTGCGATTCATTTTCCATTTCAGCGGGAGAGGCAGACTTAGGTTCCTCCGCCGGTGCACCGCCTGATAAGGCATTGAGAGCTTCCTCGACAGGCGTTGGAGAAGCTGGCGTTTCCCCTTTTGTTTGTCCGGCGTCAGGGCTACCGAGAACCGACGGAGATTGTGGGGTTATCTCCTTCGATTTGGCTTCGGGGGTCCCAGGCACCGAGGGACTAGAGACACTGGGTTTCTTGAATGAGAACTCCGATGGAGATTCAGGAACGGTCTCTTTGCCAAGCCTTCCAGAAACTGAGGGACTGGAGCCACTGGGCCTCTTGGGTGGGAATTCTGCCGGAGGCTCTGAGACGGAGTTCCTGTGGAGTGATGAACCCGAGCTGATGGGCTTCTTCAAAGGGGAGGGAGACTCGGGTACTGTTTCTTCGAGCTTGCCTTCAGGGCTTCCGCTCACTGACCCTCCAGCAGTACCAGGCCTCTTCAAAGGGAATTCCGAAGGAGGATCTGAGACGGAGTTCCTGTGAAGTGATGAACTAGGGATGCTTGGCTTTTTGAATGGGAATCCAGATGGAGAATCAGGAATTGTCTCCTTCGCAGGGCTCGCAGGAAGCGACGGACCGGAGACACCGATTTTCTTCAGAGGGAATCCAGATGGAGATTCAGGAACGGCATCTTTAATGGGGCTTGTAGGAAGGGATGGGCCAGAGACACCAATTTTCTTCAGAGGGAATCCTAATGGAGACTCAGGGACACCATCCTTGATGGGGCTTGTAGGAAGTGATGGACCAGAGACACCAGGTAGTTTCGTTTGGGTTCCTGGAGGGGGCGTTCGCATCAAACCCAGAGGGGTGACCTCCTTGAAATTGTTTACTCGTCCCAAATCCACGCTACCTCGTGACTGCCGGTCTTTAGCCCAGTTGGGCTGAGAAGGGGGTCTGGTGGTTTGTCGAGGTAGCTCTGGTCGGTTGAGGGCACTCTCTAACCAAGAAGCCTTGTTGGGGCTCCAGCGCCTGGGGTCCATGGTTTTTGAGACAAACGGACCTTGGGTGTCGCTGCCTTCTGCGGTAGCAGAGCTAGCAGAACGAGAGTGACCAGTTCTGAATGATTTTCCTGGACTGCTTTCAAAATTCACACTGTCTCTATCCGCAGGTGTAGTTGGTCGTTCGGTTGTCGCAGTGGCTGCCTCACTGTGGCTGGAGCCTGGTCGTTGCAGGAGAGTTGAAGGTCGCCCAAGAGTTGGAGGGGTCATTTCACCCAAACCTGGACCTGCCACACTGCTGCGATTTGACACAATGGAATTTGACCGCCCGAGCCCCTGCGGAACTTGCGCACTCCACCTTTTTGACACACTATCTGATCTTCTCATCATAGCACTCTGAACAAAGCCTCCCAGGCCCTTGGTGGGTGAGGTCGACCGCGCTCGCTCTGGTGACATCCGCCGCTGGGTTGGAGACGGCGACACAGGTTCCTCGAAGGAGGAATCATTCTGTCGAGCCTCGAGCTTCGGAGTCTCTGACAAGTGCACTGGCGATCCCAACCCAGTCGCCGAAACCGACGATACTGAGAAGCGATGGCTCATGTTGCTATCGCGAGAACCGGTTCTCGGAGGCGACGATGATCTCTCTTCTACTGCGTCAAGTTTATCTAGTTCGGTATTTGCCTCTTCGCCCACTTCCGGCTCTTGATGCCCCACGCCCACGTCTTTTTGGCTATTCGTCTGTTCTTCCTTCCCACTGTGCGCTAGTGACCCAGCCCCGCGCTCCGGTGATGGAGGGGGCACAGGAGCATCCTTGGATGGTCGCGGGAACCCAAATTGGAGTCGAGATAGTGTATTCTCATCCGATGCCGTAGACAAATTTCTCAGGTGGCTTGCGCGAGTTGGGGAGCGAGTTGGGGATGTTGAACTGGGCGACACGGCGAAATCTCGCGAGGAGGGGCGTTGCTGCCATGACAAAGTCCCGGCGCGACTGCGGGACAAGGGTGCCCGGGTCCGCGTGGGAGAATCAATTCCGAGATCCGGGACCGATCCACGCCGCTTGTCGGTGTCAGAGGTCTCCATATCTTGGCTCGAATCCACAGCGCACGGGGTTGGCTCAGGTGCTAGCGTTTGTGGTTTTTGCGGTGTTGGCTCGAGGTGTTCCGGGGGGTCGATGGGCCGGGGGCTGATAGATGAGGAGCTGAGTCGCGCAACGTTGAGGGTGGGTGAATCGTCGGTAAGGGCCAGTGATCGTGCACGCTCTATTTGAGTCATCCGGATATCAGCACATTGTCAACCTGCAGCAAATGCTGTGACTATGCGGACATTGCCTGCATCAAGAAGAAGAGGGAGTGTTACCAGCTCTCCGGGCTTGCCTTTCCTTCCGACCCTGCAGGATCTCCTCCTCTAGTTTCTTGGTGCGCTCGTCATCTTCCTTGTCGCGGCGCTCGCCTAGTTCCCGGATTCGCTGAAGGAAATCATTGACATCCTCGGAACTCTCGTTGGGTACAGTCATGATCTAGGACTCCGTTCATGCAGGCCTCCTAGAAACAAATGAGGAAAGAGTTGAAGAGTGGAAGAAGGGCTGTGTTCTCCGCCCTGTTTAAATTAAATCGGGACTGGCAATGATCAACAAATTCATTGGCTCACACATCGTTTTTTTATTCCTTTAAATCTTTTTAATCGATTTATCCTGTTCTTTCTTATAATAAAAATTTCCCCTCTACAATATACATATGTAATGGATAAATGCATTTATACAGACCAAACCGAAATCAGTCACACAGTTGTTTACATTGTTTATGTGGAGCGATTAGGCCCCGCAGTTTTCGTTCCATGGCTTTTTACTCTTTCTTTCTGGTTCTGTGGTTCTGCTGATTCTCCTTGGGCATTTCCTTGGATTTTCTTATTTCAGGGGCTAAAAGTCAATAGTGAACTCATAGATGGATCATTGGATCATATGTGACTATTTTAGTTGGATATATCAGGTTGTGCCTTGCATATGCTGGGTTGTACATAGAAATGAAACACTTACTTTTCTTAACTCTTTGTGAACTCCCGATCCCTTCCAAGGTTTCTATCTATTCTTGACTCTATAGCCTATCGGATACGGGCAGTGGTCGCTTTGCTTTAAACATTTACTAGGTCCTTTAGGACACACAAGCAGTATTATAAAGGCCATAAAATGCCCCGACTTTGTTGATTTTTAGAATATGACTGACGGCACGTTAGTTATATAACGGGCTAGAAACACAGTTTCACCGGATATATGAACAGATCTGAAATTTAATAACCTAGGTAATATATTAAATAGCTTGTAAGCTTGGATATCAAGAGAAAATACAGGCCGATACCTCCTAGTTCACTAGTAAAGGAACAGCCGGTCCTTGGCATCTTGTACCACCCATTCCAGACCTTGATTCAGATTTGCGCCTGTCATTGCACTGCATGGCAAGATAGTCCATTTGTGTGTTTTGATTGAATCCAGGTCAAGACGCTGCAGAAATATCAGCGAAGTCTAGCAAACGGCTTCACCCGAACTCCAAAGAACCTAGACCTACTTCTCGAACCTCCTGTTCGCTCATGCAATGTTCCACATCTGTCTTATTCAAAAATACCAGCAGACTAGCTCCCGTAAGGCGCTGGAAATGGTTCAGTTGGCACTTTCAAGATTTGCAGATTGCGGGTGGGGACGTCATCCGTACCTCTTCAAGAAGCAAACCCGAGAGCTCCTGTCGACAATCGTCAACCCGGAGTCGATCTGTGGCATCAACGACCCAGACTAGCGTGTCGGTCTTTTCAAAATAGTTTTTCCAGTAGGATCGGAGTGTTTTTTGTCCTCCAACATCCCCTAGTACTGTCAGTGCGGCCCCTCAGAGACCCGGGTTGGCTCACAGATGTTGAGTTTGTATCTGCGCCGAGTTAGCAGAGCTCGAGATATCAACAAGATGGAAAATTACCCCATAAAATCAATTGTCTTGATGATAAATCCTAGAGTCGGGCTGACTGTCGTGACATCCTCCTTCATAATTCGCTTGACGATAGTCGTCTTGCCGGCATTATCAAGACCGCTGCAATCATTAGCATCTCGATCTGAACGACTGGCCGAAGTCCATACAGCATCAATATACGCATTTCTTTGTCCTTTAAGCGGGATTTTCGAAGTATGGACAACATGGTTGTAAAAGTACCTGCTTGGTGTTTTTGTTGGCGGGGAGTTGAAAAGGGAAAAATGTTGCCAGGCTCAAGATGAGGTTCGACCGTGTCTGTGGATCGGCCGATAATATATTTCTTCCCGTCACTACCACGTTGCTTTGTATTCAAGTGTGCCTATCCGAATGTCGTGGTGTATTTTCGCCTATATATTGATGGTTTGGATTTTCAATAGGCACTATATCGGATGCCAGGCCACGGCATTGACTAGTACCTAGGCTATCCCAGAATTCAAGGCTTTGGATCATCTTATCTAAATTCATACAAAACTTCAGATACAAACACACTCTTATATACATATATATTTTACTGCAAACGAAAGACCAGAGAAGCATGCCGTCACGTCAAGACTGTATATCATTTGTATCGACTTCATGTCCTTCACCTAGGTCTACTCAGATATCCAGTATCCAGGTTTCGCAATTGCAAAACAGTATTTGAAGGAAGCTTTTTTAAACCGATTCTTTAGATAAGAGGGAAGAACACGAGTATACAATCGAATAATAGGAAGTTGTGAGGGTAACCTGATGTTCGGCTTCGAGGGGAACCGTTCGAGGTTTCCCAACCTTTATGATCCTGTCTCCCTCTTCCCCCCGTCTCTACCTCTTCGCCTTTTCCGTTCTCATCCTCTCCTATCTTTGTCTCTCCCACCTTTTATCACTTCGATCATTTATTTTCAGTCCGCATATTCGCAACACAGAACGTGCTCTACAGTCAAGTCTCACCAGTGAACTGACTGCAACACATCCAATCGTTCAGGTATGCTTGTTACCAAACATTTTACGCCCCACCCTTTCAGCAACAAGCACGAAGCTACCCGCAAGTGACACGTGCAGAACAGGCACAGTTTGCAAGCCCTACCCCGAGTGGGTTCACAAAGCTTCGCAACTGCTTCCTCGTTCGCCAATATCATATGATAGTGAAGAAAAGCGAGAGGATGGCCTAGAACAGACCAAAAGAAACATCGTGGCAGTGATATTCGAGGATTCCAGCTGACGTGAAGATATCTACCAGAAACTCCAATTCAAATTCTGTGTGACCGAAGTCACATCAAAATGGCAGAAGAAGTTGAAATATCCGTGCCGTTCCGCGGTAGAAACGCTGCCTATCGAAAGCCGCCCAAGAATTCCAACAAGCCAAAATCGACAGTGTTCCTGAATGGCTCCAGTGCAGCCATGCTTCAAGCTTTCGAATCCATGGATGAGATGGGAAGAAACAAGCTGATACAGAGCATAGAGAATCTGAGCTGGGCACAAACTTGGGACTTGACCAAACAGTTTGACAAACAGAGGAGAAAGAGAATGCCCGTGCAACAGCCTCTATTCGGCATGGAAAACGAGAGTCACTCTTGCCCTGAGATGCTTCCCGCAGCAAGGGACGGACCTGGGGTCGATCGGAGCAGCAGTGTCTATAAGTCGCTCGCAAAGCCCAGGACTGCCGAAGGGGTTGAAGAACCTGAGCCATGGGCAACAGCTGACCCGCCCGACTTCATTCCTGACGATGAATATGAAAAACTCGAAAAGACGGTCAAGTGGTCAGACAATGTGGAGTCTCGGACCCAGCGTGATGCTCGACACAAGCTTCAAGCCAAGGCATACGCAAAATCTCGCCGTATCTTCCCAGTCGTCCAAAATAGCATCCTCACATTCACATCGAAATACAACGACGCTATTTATGAGCCTGATTCTCTCCTTGATGGCTGGACTTTGGACATCCAAGAAGGGGATGATCAGTGGCACGAACTCAAACACAGAATTTCTTCGTTTGATCTTCCCAACGCGAGTGTCAGAAAGCAGTTTCGCAGCTGGTGGGATCAGCTTCCGGCAGGACGCCAAGTTGACATTTATCATGTTGCCTTCTTTGACGGAACCGCGATGCCTGATGGAGAGGGTTCCATGTTTCTGCCTGGAATCAAGCATATCCCCACCCCTAGGAACATGAAAGACGAGCTGACACGACTTCATTGGCACGAGACATCAGAAGGCTACGTCTACAACCTTGGGAAGGTTAACAAAAGGCGACAGAAGAAGGAACAGGAACAACAAGAGCACCTGCGTCGCACCGCGGCTTACCGTGCTTGGCTAGAATTACCACCGGATTCAAAAGTTGTTCCACCCGGCATCTATCTGCGTCCGGCAGAAGAGTGTGATGCTGCTTCTATCCTTGAAATCATGAACTGGTATGCAGAAAACTCAGCTTTGAGCAGTGAAACTCGAGCTACGGAGGTGGATGACTTTGGGGAGCTTCTTCAATCTTGCCGAGAGAACCACTTCCCCTTCATCGTCGCTGCTCGACGTCCACCGGAACGCCTGTGTCTCAACCAAATCGACCCTGTGGTTGGCTACGCCTATGTCGAGTTCCATCGGCACGGCAAGAGCGCTGACAACCACATGGGTGAGCTGCACGTCTTCGTCCAAGAGGGCAGCAAGAAGCAGCACATCGGACGGGCACTTGTCGATATGGTCCTCTCTTGTTTTGATGTGGCCTCTGAACCAAGCACCGACTATGAGTTCGACCAAACTGGGACAGTGCAGTACGGCGCGGGCTATGGCTGCCCCCTTAGAACAATGGTCTGCGCTGTCGCAACATCCCCGGAGGCCCGGCAGGAACATGTCTGGATCGAGAAGTGGTTGGAGAGGGACTTTGGCTTCAAAGAACAGTGCGTATTCGAGAATGCGAGAGTGAAAAGTGGCAAGAGGTATGTCTTGTCTTTTCTTTTCACTTTCATCTTGGATTGTATTTACTGACGCATTATCTTAGTTATGACATTCGATACATGGCTCGTCGAATCGGGGCCCCACGTGCGAGCAATGGGGTCAAGAACCGACTTCAGACTCAAGCCCAGCCCCAGGGGAGTAGTACCAAGTCTGCGATACTCAACTACCTCTGATGCGCCTGCGAATGAATGATTGAGAATATGGACGGAGATCATCTTCGGAGAATCTGGCGACAGGGAGAGGACCAGGTCTAGAAGAAGCAGAAAAAAGAAAAAAAGTTGAAAACGAAACGAGACTAATGACAGACGAATGGTCTGTGTCCAGGATGTTATATCCGGGATGTCTCACCAGAAAAAAGATCGATGTGATGAAAGGGCATACGGGGGATATTGAGCAGGGCAATACCTACTTGGGGACATAGGTAGGTAGTCAATTGAAAATGTATGATTATATTAATTCTTTTTTGATGATAATATTAGAATAGAGCGTGATATTCAGCGAAACAGCCATGGAGTAAATAAAGCTGGTGACAACGGCATCTCCAGCCTGGAGGGCTCGAAGCAGATTGATTATGTCATCAGAAATTTTCTTGTCACCGCCCGGGGAACTTTTTTTTGCATGTTGATCCATTTCTTCTCGGCGAGATTGAGTTGCTTGCACTGAGTTCGGGGGTCTGGAATTTTCTACTAAGACTGTTTGAGAGAGTGTGGAAGACATCCAGCTACCAAATATACACTGGAATCTGCGCCGGTCTCCAAAATGGCTCCTCAATCGGCGAAGCGGAGTTCCGCCAAAGACGATGATTTCGTATTCACCCTCTCCGACGACGAGAACGAACCCCGGTTCGAAGAAGAAGAGGATGAAAACGAGATGCAGGGTGATAATGCGCCGGCAGCAGACAACAAAAAGCGCAAGCGCGAGGTCGAAGCCGTCAAGCCCAAGAACAAGAAGCAGAAGCAACAGGAAAAGCAGCAATTGAAAAGCGCCAAGAAGAACAAAAAGAATGCCGAGCCCGCAACCGAACCCGAGTCGGAAGAAGAGGAGGAAGATGATGCTGCAGCAGATGCAACAGAAGACGACGGCGTCTTAGACCCTGAATTCGAGTTCGATGTCGGCGGTATCGCGAACCGTGGTGTCACTGAAGGCTTCGATGGCTGGGGCATTGATGACAACGAAGAGAAGCGCTCCGGCGACAAGAAGGCTGTTGATATTGATGATATCATTGAGCGGAGGCAGGCCAAGAAAGATGAGGCTGCTGCTAAGAAGCAGAAGAAGAAGGCTGCCGAGAAGGAAGAGAGCGCCAGCGCATCTGAAGACGACGCTGCATCGGGCGACGAAATGCCCGTTGACTTCGACGATGATGAGCTCATGGCGGACGACGCCTTCGGAATGGGCGCGAACGGCGAGGAGGAGAGTGATGCCGAGGGCCCTGAGCCTGGCTCTGGGGATGAAGACGAGGAGGACGAGGAGGATACGGATGAGAATGAGGATTCCGATGACGACGCTGCATCTGACAACGACTCTGTCGCTACACCGGTTGGTCACCCCGATGACGTGGGCTCAGACCAGGAGTCCGATGTAGAGAGCGAGGTGGACGAGGAGGAAGCAGAGAAGCGCAAAGCGTTCTTTGCCCCCGAAGAAAAGGTCGACACCAAGGCCAACATGGCCAAGATGACTTTCCAAGAATTCAATCTTTCCCGCCCCATCCTTCGAGGTCTTGCCGCAGTTGGATTCACAGACCCGACCCCTATCCAGCGCAAGGCGATTCCCGTTGCTCTGCTGGGCAAGGATATCGTCGGTAGTGCCGTGACTGGTTCAGGAAAGACCGCCGCCTTCATTGTTCCTATCCTCGAGCGTCTCCTCTTCCGTCCTCGGAAGGTCCCTACAAGTCGTGTTGTGGTTCTGATGCCCACTCGTGAGTTGGCTGTTCAGTGTTACAACGTTTCCGTCAAACTGGCCACCTTCACAGATGTCACATTCTGTCAATTGGTCGGTGGTTTCAGTCTCCGCGAGCAGGAGAATGTACTCAAGAAGCGCCCCGATGTGATCATTGCCACCCCCGGTCGTTTCATTGACCACATGCGCAACTCGCCCAGTTTCACAGTCGATACCCTGGAGATCCTGGTTCTTGATGAGGCCGATCGTATGCTTGAGGACGGTTTCGCCGATGAGTTGAACGAGATTCTCACCACAATTCCTAAATCTCGCCAGACTATGCTGTTCTCTGCGACCATGACAGACTCAATCGACAAGCTTATTCGTGTCGGTATGAACCGCCCAATGCGCTTGATGGTAGATGCCAAGAAAAACACTGTATCCACCCTTGTCCAAGAATTCGTGCGTCTCCGCCCCGGACGGGAGGACAAGCGTCTCGGTTACCTTCTGCACCTGTGCAAAGAAGTCTACTCAAAGCGCGTTATTATCTTCTTCCGACAGAAGAAGGAAGCTCACCGCGTTCGTATCATTTTCAGCCTATTGGGCTTGAAGGCAGCAGAGCTACACGGTAGTTTGAGCCAAGAACAGGTATGTTAAAACAACTCGCGGTCTATACGTGCAACACTAACTTCCCATACAGCGTATCAAATCCGTCGAGAACTTCCGAGATGGCAAGGTCGCCTTCCTTCTCGCCACCGACGTTGCGTCTCGTGGTCTGGATATCAAGGGCGTCGAGACCGTCATTAACTACGAGGCTCCGCAGAGCCATGAGATCTACCTGCATCGTGTTGGACGTACAGCCCGTGCCGGCCGCTCCGGTCGTGCGTGCACGATTGCCGCCGAGCCTGACCGCAAGGTCGTCAAGCTTGCCGTCCGCGCAGGCAAGGCCCAAGGCGCCAAGATCGCTAGTCGTGTGATCGAGCAAGCCGTTGCAGACAGCTGGGCGCAAAAGGCCGAGGATATGGCTGAAGAGGTGGCCGAGATCTTGCAAGAGGAGAAGACCGAGAAGCAGTTATCTCAAGCCGAGATGCAATTCACCAAGGGTGAGAACCTCATGAAGCATGGTAACGAGATCATGTCGCGGCCGAAGCGGACGTGGTTCGAGACCGAGAAGGAAAAGAAGGTTTCTCGCAAGCTGGGTGCCGTCGAATTGAACGGCCCCAATATCAAGAAGAGCAATGTCAAGCTCAGCAACAAGGACAAGAAGCGCCTCGATGATCGGCAGATGAGACACGATGGTAATATCGGGTGGAAGAAGGGCAAGGGAGATGCGGAATCTGCTAAGAATCCCAAGAAGGGCAAGGGCAAGGGTCCAAAGAAAGGGAAGAAATAAGGGATCTATGAATTGTGTATACAATTGAATACCATGCAAATAGCATTTGAAGCATATTAATTGGCTATGGCTACTTGACTATTCACAACCTATAACCTATAGCCTATATAACCTCTAGTGGGGCCTACTCCGTAGATAACTCCAAATCTCCAAATCTCCCAATGAAATTATGGAGCTGATTCGACGTCAATGCTATCTCATTTTCTAAAGGCTCGATCCCCGCGCCCCCACGTTGGGGCCAAAAATCTTCTCTCCTATTTTTAAATTTTTCCCTTTCCTTTTCATTTTTGACATTTTGGGGGGATATATCTCCACGAATTGGGAGCTTAAAAACGGTGACATCTGGAATGGCCGAGCCTCCCAAAACCAGTCTGCCCCGGAAGAGCGCCTTCTCATGCGAGGCCTGTCGCAAACGCAAGGTGCATGCGGATCCCCTCGGACGAAACCCGAGATTTCCGAGCTAACTGCTCGCCAGGTTAAATGTAACGGCGCTAGTCCGTCGTGTTCGCGATGCGCCACGCGCAACGAGCAGTGTGTGTATAGCTTGTGAGTCGATCCTTTTTATTCTACTCCCTTGTTTGCAGTCGCTAATAGTATTTTCTATACCAAAGAGCCCCAACATTATCGTACACGAAACAGCTTGAGGCTAGGGTTGCGCAGTTGGAGGATGCTTTATCGAAGCGCGGTGAGGGCGAAGAAGTGCGGAACACGAGATCGCCATCATCGGCTGAGTCCAGCTCAAGCGGACCGAAGATAAAGATCGATCCCGATGCTGAAGATCTCACCCGCGCATTTGATGGTCTCAATGTGGAAAATGACGGTCGCGTCTCGTTTCACGGGCCGACTAGTTTGTTCCAGCTGCCCAGTGGGGTGGTGAGTGAAACGGCGTCGACCTCACATTACGCGCAGGAATTGGAGGGTCGCAAAGAGCGGCTTGTTAATAGCGCATGGCGGGAAAGGGCATTCGAGCAAATGGCTGCTATGCCGGTATGTCCTAGTGGATTGGATTGTTTGAGGGATGCGTATGCTGATACACCCCTGCAGGAGCCTTTCCAGTATCTTCTCGATTCGCATTGGTGCTGGATCCAGCCGCTGTGGAATTTCGTCTACCGTCCTGCATTTACACGTTGGTTCGACCTTGCCATTTCTGACGTACAACACTAACCTTCCCCCGATAGGTGACATGAAAATCAATGGGGCTTATTACTCGGACGTCTTATTAAATGCCATTCTCTCTCATTCAGTACGCTGGTGCAAAGCGGAGCCTCAAGTTGGTCCGCTTCTGGACTCCTATGACGGCGGCGCACAATTCTCCCATCGCGCATTGACTGGGTTGTTCGACTCCCTGAAAGTTGGTTATGCTGGCATTCCTACCATTCAGACATTACTCCTTCTCAGTGCCCAGGAATGTGGCCGTGGAAATCGGACGCAAGCTTGGCTATACAGTGGCATGGCCTTCCGGCTGCTGGACGACTTGGGTATCTCCATTGACAGCCGGAAATATTCAGGATCCGCTCATCTGAGTGATGAGGATATTGAAATACGGAACCGTCTATTTTGGAGTTGTTATTTCTGGGATAAGGTGGTCTCATTGTACTTCGGCCGGGCGCCGACGATGCAGCACTCTCACGTTAGTCCGCCACGCATGATTCTTGATGATACTGCTGAGATCGAAATATGGACACCTCATGGGGTGAGCTTCACTGACGGTGCTCACTATCCGCCGACGCAGGCGCATTCAACGTCATGTTTCATGAAGATGTGCGGTCTGGCGGAAATCTTGAACCAGATTCTGATCCACATATATGACCCAATTCGCCGAAGCACGGACTCGGAGTTCCTTGATTGTGTTCAGGAGCAGGCCAAGAATCTGGCTGACTGGTGGGATGAGCTACCGGACTACTT